ACAACCATGAAAAAAATCTAAAGTTTGTTAAAAAAAAGTGATAAAAATTTTGACTTCTTCGCCAAGAAAAACAAGAAAAATATTCCAAAGCGTGCGTTGTTTACCACCATATTTTCATCATCTTTTCCGGAAATCATACTGCTTTGATGGGTGCATTTAATTCATTAAAAAAGAAACATTTTCTAGGTGTTGCTATTTTTTTGAAAGGCAGTGTAGTATAATGGTTTTACCTTTTCGAAGAATTAAAGAAATTTGTTATTATATTTAAATTTGGTTTTCTTTGATGAAGAAAAACACCATACTTGGAAATTGTGAAAAACTCCAACAAAATTTTACCTACTTCATGGAGGATAAAGAAGTAGATGTGATAATATTTACAGGTAACGGGCGCAACTCGGAACATTCATCTACAGTAAAAGGTGCGCCATTGGAACTTTTTGAGTTCGAAAACTCAGGTAGTGGATGCAATTCAGATCCGTCCTCTTAAACGTAAGCTCCACGTGACTATTCTCTAGAATCATCAAATTGTGCCAGATAATTACACTATCTTCAAATTTATTCAAAATTGTCCAAACAGATCCTTTTCCATGAAAAGATAAAATAAAATCCACCGCATCCACTTTGCAATCAACGACAAATCTAAAATGTGGCACCCTACAATCCAGTTTTAGTATTTTCGCATTGATATTAAACCTGGAATTGACTTAATATTAATTACGATTGCTGAAAAGTTATAAACTTACTCCACTTTCGAGGAAGTCGTCTCGTTAAAACGTGACCCTTCTAAACGTTTGAAAACCTGTTTCACACGAACTAGTTCACGGCCAGTAGCAGCTTCTACCTATATTAGAAATTTCAAGGGTTCAATGTCCAGCAAACTCACTTTGAAGGGAAGACTCATTTGTTTTATAGCGTTTTCAGTCGCTTTGTTTTTCGTTACATTTTATAAAACTAGAAGCTAACATTTTTTATTTGAAAAAATGATGATGCTATATAATGGTAATACACTGTAAAGTTGTTTCGAATTTTTAGCGTTATCATAGAGAATCAAATAGCTTGTGCGCTCTCCTAGACTGCGTATAGAGGAAACGCGACTGTTTTGTTTGCTTGTTGATTATTATTTTTCGCTTTTCCTCCAGTGAGACAAAAGAGCTGTATAGCGAGTTATTTGTTGAGTATTTCTTGTATTTGGAAAGTATTGTGGTCAAAAAGGAATTCAACTCTACGACTATTTGTCGGATTATTGTTCGTGCCATCGTAATTTTGGCGACAACTTGCGTCGGATTAAACCTGGTCTCCAGTGAGATAGATAGACCTCAGACCACCGAGAGGTAATTATTTTTAATATCTTCGGTTTAATTATAATTCTTTCATCCTATTCTCAAAATAAATTCTTACTTCCCTAACAAGTGTTGAAATTCATCCTATTAGGTAGCTTGGAATCTTAATTGATTTGTTACAGGTTGAACAATTCTGGCGTAGAATTGTGGGGAGTTTGTAAAAAACCAGTAAAGCTTAATACTGATTTATTGAAAACAACCTAACTTATACAATGTATCAATGTTTCTAAACTAAAGGTAATATTGAATATGAAAATATATGGCCTCCCAGTTTCTGGTGATTTCTATTGTTCTGCTGCTGCTGTCTTCGGAAAGCTGACGATGATGCTCTTACGGTAGTCAGCGTTTCGTAATGCTGGTGCTTGCAATACCGATGATTTCGCGTTCTGCATTCGCGTCGTTTTCTTGACCTTATTATTGGTTTCGTAAAGAGGAAATTGAAATTTAAAAATTATTGTTTAAATTTAGGATTTTTGCCGTATTTCGGAGTGTCATTGGGTTTTGTTTTGATCTTGAATTGGTGACTGGTTGAGCAGTTCTCCCAATTTTTGCAGCTTGCTGAGTTTCTTTTCTTGTCATCATGTTTTTGACCGTTATGCGTTTGTTATTTCCGTGTTCTTCTTTTATTATGCTACCGAACAAGATCCATCCAAATTCTGTATTTTGGTCCATAAAACCATTATTTGTTTTTTGGATACCGTTGAGTATTATATTGCGGTATTGGCCCGCGCCTAGTAATACGTCAATTGGAAGACTGGCTCCGTGATGATGCGATTCTGCCATACCTGAAGATCTGCTTCGATGTCTTCTTCCGGTAGAGATTCCGTAATTTTTGATAACACCAATAGATCTGCTCTGAGTGTAAAATCACTTGAAAATCGTGGAATGTACTCGACTGTAATTTTGGAGTTTGATTTGTTCGGTATTCCCCCTCCTTTTCTTGTTGGCCGTAATTATATCGAGAGATAGAAATCTTGTCTGCAGAAAATCCATCATTTTCTCGAATTCTTGCATATAGTGTTGGTTGTTTAATGACTGTTCATACAGCCTGTTTGTTTCTGGGTCCCATTTTTGAGAGATAATTCTGGTGAATATTGGTCCCATGTTTCGGTCTGAATGGCTAAATTGTTTAATGTTATGTAATTTTTTCAACTTTTCTGCTGATTCTTCTTGTATTGTTGGCTGATCCAAAATTCTGTCTAGTAACTTACTTACGGTAAGCCTTGTGTTGCTTTTAGTCAACGGCTCCCTTGCTGTTTCCTAACTATTTTCTCTGATGTACGTCTTCAGGTACTGCATCTTTTCAGTCTTGGAGAGCGACGTGTTGTTGTGGATGACTTTCTTGAATAAATCGTGGAAAGTGGGCCAATCTTCATATTTTCCGCTAAACGTTAGAAGCTTAATTTGGGGTAGTTGTATGTTCGGTTTCTCATGCTGAAGGGCGACTGGATTTTTTCTTTCAGTTTTTCAACCACAACCTCGTACTTTTCTTCAGTATTTTTCTTCGAAATCAATTTCTTGGACGTAGATTTCTTCATGCAGTTCTATGACGCTTCTCCACTGACCTTGGATTTTTTCGGATAGAAGTTCATACCTGGCTCGGCTGTAGTCCTGAGCTAAGTCACTGTTTATCTTGGTCAGTTAGATGGAGATTTTTTGCCGTTTGAACAATTGACGTCGGATGTGGGTTTCTTGCTCCGGGTCGACGTAGGATGACGTCTGAATTGAGTCGAGGTATTTCTTTGCGTTCTGAGGGTGGGCCCCAGTATCTTCAATTCTTCATCATTTCACTGAACTTCATTCCAATATTCTTGTTCTGCCTTATTGGATCGCCAAATTTTTGGTTTTTCTGATTGCAGGATCTTTTCTCGCCTTAGTTAAGAGAGCTTGAATTTTCTTCCCCAAATCCTCTTGTTCTTTGGCTTTCTTGTTGAATTCATCTGTGACGAGTTTTTTCTTGCACCCTTAATTCGGTGAAAGCCTGCTGGGTATAAAGGGCACCGCCGACCGAAAATTCTCTCGGAAGTGGTGACGGCCCGGAATCTCGCCGATAACGTGTGGTGGCGGCGCACCTGGGTGGTAAGCTTATGCGGCGACCTTCACGCCGCCGGGGGTGGCGCCCTCGGTCAAGAGCTCACCACGCCCGGGAAAACATGATAATGAAATAAAACGGCTGGAAATATTTTAAATAATAAATAGGGTTCATTCCCTGCCACCAGCTACACGGCTAAAATAATAAAACATACGGCCAACCAACTTAAATAACCACAGGACAAATTAAATAAACAAACAGAATTAATTATCCGGCACGGTCGTTCCTTCAGGACGGGCTCCTCTTGGACTTGGGGTGGCGACCTTGAACTTGGAAATCGTGAGAAGACGGGAGAGGAGTGCGTTGACGGTAACGACGCCTGCACGACGATTTCGCACACAAGTTTTACTAATATCACTATCACAGTCGTTAAAAACGTGAGTATTAATCACAACTTTACTAATCTATAAGAATGTAAATTTAACACTTCAGTCGAATTTTTTTGCACTTTCTAAAACCTGTTGCACACTAACTTGGTAATTACATCCTGATAACTGACGGTATAAACTGAAACGTTTTTCCAAACAATCCGTTTGAAACTTACCGGGTAAAACGTATTGTACTTTGAGTTTCTCTATGGCAAAATTTATGATTTTGATAAGAGCTGTAGTAGCTTGAATAATGACTTGGTGTCTTTAGTCAAATGTCCATATTTTAGATTCAAATTTTGCCAAGCTTTCATCCAAGTTACAAATTTCTCCATGAAAATAAATCTATGATCGTTTATGTTCTTAAACACACTCTGATTTGAATCGCGTTTAGTTACATCTTTGAAAAGACTTTTCACATTTACTATTTTTCACCACCTTAGTATGATATCTAAAAAATCTGCTGTATAGCCACTATCTAAATTCCTAATTCTTAAAGCAGCTACTGTTTTTTCTTGAAATATATTTTCAGCCAACATCACTTTTTGCCTGTCGAGATTGGTTGGATAAACACTTTTATAATTAAGTTTAACCGCAGTTGCTAATAATAAGTTGGTCAAATGGCTATGTGTGTTATAGAGTTTTCTTAAATCTTTAAAGCAGGCCTTTTTAATAATACTGTGGTCATCAAAATCTGGATAAAAAAAGTTTTTTCATCATCTTTTTCATTGATCCAGTTATTCCTGAGATCTTTAAACATATGTACAGTGGCATACGTTAAAAATAAAGGTAAAGTAGGGTATTTTGGGTTATCAATTTTAAATAAATCTTCTGACTTGAAATGTTTGACTACTTCCTTTTAAATTTATTCTCTAAAGATTGTGGTTGGATCTAGTCAAAGTAGCGGTACTACGATGTAATCATCTCGAACGAGACTCTTATATAATTATAATCGAACATCACTTAAGGTAACTTCGTTTGATTTTTAATTATATTACGAGTCTCGTTCTTCGAGATTACATCGTAGATGTTTAGAGCAAACCAACTTAGTCTTTATTCCTTAATACCTGTTACAGAGCTTAATGCCATAATAACATTATTCAAGCTAAACTTAATTTAAGACTTACTTAAACTTATTTTAGACTTATTCACCCTGTTGATTGAATAACACCTCTACAAACGATTCTTTTCTTGGTTCTATCAGGCGTTTGTATCACTTTGCGAACACCTGTGAGCTGTACTCTTTATGATGTTTACATCTAAACCTCTCGCCTCTGCAGCAGACGTGGCTGCGTGTCTCGTGCTGTGAGCAGTGTATTTGGGATCTATTCCGGCTTCCACGAGACAGCACCTTATCCAGCGGCTTATTGATTGCGCAGTTGCCCTATGGTTGGGCCTCTTAAATGTAATAAACAGGTAGTCTTCATTCCCTCTTAGAACTCTGGTTCTTTTTATGTATTTCAACAACACCCTGGCGACGCAAGCGCCCTTTCGCTCTTTAAAAAATGGTAGACTGAATGAGGGTTGTGCAACTCCGACTCTAGATGTTTTAATTTGCTCCGATATCTTTATGATAACATTGCTCTTCGAAATTGTCATGTCACTTATTTTGATTAGGGACAATGTCTGAACCTTATGGGCTGTAGCTAAGGCTAATAAAGATACCAACTTAAAGGTGAGAGATTTTAGGTCCAGGACTTTCAATGGTCCCAGTGCTTCTGCCCAGTTTAGAACTGCCTCCTGTGTTCCAGGTGGTGTCATATTTAGGCTTCGGTGGTCTGTTTTTAAAGACTCCTTTAAAAAAACGACTAATTGCAGGATCACTACCCAAGTCTATCGTGCTTATCAGATTAATCGCTGATATCTCTGAATTAAGTGTGCCGTATGATGCCTCCTGATTGAATCGAAATGTTAAGTATTTTAAAACTAGGTAAATATCTGGTTGTAGGGGGTCTCTCTTTTCACTCTGGCAGTAACTCCACCAGTTTTTAAGGGCTGTGTTGTATTGTTTCAGAGTAGAATCCGTTAGTGAAGAGATTAGAATCTCTACTGCTTCTGCTGGCACTAGTTTCTGTTGATACGATCGCCGGAGAGTCTCCCTGCAACCAGGGAAAGATGATCCGCTAACAGGTGAATTAGAGACCTGCAAGGAGATAACAGAAGCTTAGGTGAGGGCGAAAAATACAACGGTTCTTCTAATAGCATTGATTTAAATATGGGAAACCAAGGCTGGGTAGGCCAGTGAGGGACCACCACTATTCCCTGAGCCTTATCTGAATTGATTTTTTGTAGCACCTTAGCAACCATCGCGAAGGGAGGGAATGCATAAAAAAGGTATTTACTCCAATTAACTGTAAAAGCGTCAATGTACCGAGCTTCTGGGTCTCGTTTCCAGGAGCAGAACACCTCGGTCTTAGCATTACTCCTTGATGCGAACAAGTCTATTTCTGGGAACCCCCACCTTTCTACTATGGTCTGAAAGAAGGGGGCTCCTAACTCCCATTCAGTATCTACATTGACTCTTCTAGATTCCCTGTCTGCGTCTGTGTTTTCCCGCGAGGGGATGTAGGAAGCAAAGATCCAGATTCTTCTTTTCTGACACCAAGTCCAAATATCTTTAGCCCCTTGATTGAGTTCTACGTATTGTACACCCCCCATACGATTGATATACGAAATCGCCGTAGTATTGTCAATTCTAAGTAAGATTTCGCAATTTTGGACTTCCCTAGCAAAGCACTTAAGCGCCAAAAACGCTGCTATAATCTCCAGCTGGTTTATATGTAACTTCTTCTCCTCCTGAGACCAAAATCCGTGAGTATTTTCTCCGTTGCAGTGCGCACCCCACCCTGTGAGCGATGCATCCGAGAAAATCTCTAACCTATAATTTAATGACCTAATCGGATTCTTTGCTACTGGAATATTCTTCAGCCACCACTCCAGATCTTTCTTTACATATGAATGAATGATCATCCTTCGATCAAAGTTTTGATCGTTTTGGATTAGCGCCTTCATTTTTTCTCTTTCCAAGATTTTGGTATACAGCATCCCATACGGTACGCCTGGGCATGCTGCAACCAATCCACCAATTAGACCCTCCATTTCGCGAATAAAACAAGAATCTCTGCTTAAAATTTCTCGAATTGTTTTAATTAACCTATACTTTTTCTCCTCGGGTAAGGACAGAGTCATGTCCTTAGAGTTTATAATAAAACCCAAATACTTACATTTGTAATCTGGCTCGTCTTTACTTATCTCTTCATTTATAATGAACCCAAGCTCCGTTAGAGTTTTCCTCGTGACTGCTACATTTTTCTTGCACACGGCCCGAGATTTGCCGATGCAAAGCGTATCATCTATGTACGCTGTCGATAACCATCCCCTTTCTCTAAGAAAGTTCAGGACTGGCTTTAGTAACTTTGTAAATACAGGGTGACTGCGAAATAAGTGCAAATATTTTAACCACGGCATCCCCCACCCTATTAGAGCCGAAATATAGAAAAAACAAATTAAAAATCGAATGGGGCAAAACCCCCATGAACCACCCTCGATACGAAGGCACTGAGCCACCTTGTAAACAGAGTTGGAAAAACGTTCGAATAAAAACGACCTAAACACTTTCCGTTTCAATTAAAAGTAAAACCGACTTTTTGCTGCTTATCATTCGTTCATTCATTTACTCATTCATCGTTAAAGGTTAGTGTGAAAGTTTTTTGGTAATTTTGATTCTGACGGATGTTTGGTCCTTGTCACAACGATTTTAGATTGTTTATTGGAACAGAAATAAGAGCAACTTAGAATGCTACTACCTTTTTACAAGAAACGTTGAAAATGTTGTCCTTGACTAGCAATACAGGCGTCAGAGCGTCGCAAGAGGTTTGTTGATAGGTAAAAACCACTGTCACTCGTTGAAGCTCTTCGATAATTTCTGGACACTGTTGATTTCCACAAACGAACTGTTTCATCCAACCGATACACATTTATCGAAAACCGTCTCTTGCAATCGTACTTGTTGACGAGCATGTGGAGTTTGATCGGACAAAAAGTGAGTTACACAACGTGGACAATCAGCGGGCTCCAAACCCTTTACTTTGTCAACATGGTATGGATGTGGCCGTATTCGTTTAATGTAGATTGCACTACAAGCTGTGAAAATCCAACTTCTTCTTTCTGTCCTATCACGGGCACGATCGTGAGTTTGAAGTTGAAGGTACCATGATCTCGGAGTTGCTGTACCACTGATGCAAATGTTCGCCCACACCAATTACCATATCGACACAATCTGCATGGGAAAACTCCACCATAAACCGATTTCACCGACCGCTCGATGCTAACTGGCCCTTTTCGTGTTTTTCACGTTGCGATTAAAAAAGTGCATGATAAAGTCACTTTTTTGGTTCTTAATTCGACTCGCTCTGTTCCATTCATTGTAGTAATTATGTAGGTCACAAAACAGTCCAGCGTACAACAATTTACATTTAATTTAAAATAATTTTTTCTAGACACTGCTACTACTTAGGACCGTGAATTTTACCCAGTGACATAATCATATTGTGAGCTATTCCCCATTTTTTTTTGCATGTATTTCGCAATCACCTTGTACATACGGACTTGTACAAAGTCCAAAGGGCAAGCATTGAAATTCAAATATTTGACCCTTGAATTTAAATCTTAAAAATTTTCGACTACCCGGACCAATTTTTACCAAGAAATATGCATCTTTCAAGTCTAAACTACATAGAAAATATTTTTTATAAATTAATTTCAAGGCTACTCTCATATCCTCGATCTTAAAATGACTGGTCTTTATAAATTGATTTAAACATTTAAGGTTTAGTATGAATCCCTTAGAGCCATCTGGCTTTGGCACTAGAAAAAACGGTGATAAAAATTGGTCTTCTACAGCTTCGCATCTAATTATTGCCCCCATAGCTACCAGTTTTGTTATTTCGTATTCTAACAGTTTTTCGTCTTCTGCCGAAAAATGCAATTCTTTATTAAAGCTCAGGGACCGTGGTGGTCCTTCAAGAAGGAGAATTTCATACCCTTTCACACAATTCAGGACAAAGGGATCCCTGGTGATTTTTTCCCATTGCGAAAGGAACTGACTGAGTCGTCCTGCTACTAATCTCACCTTATTATTTATTTCTTTGCATCCCTCAGTGGCCGTGGCTTGCTGGTTGACTTCGAGACATTGCTGTATGTACTCTTGCTGACCGGCTGAGATGGGAGGAATTTCGTCTGATACTGTTTTGGGCCCTGATACGAGTTCCCCTGTCTCGGATACGGGCCCCGCCAGTTTAAAGTGCGTCTAGGGGCTGGCTTGCTTGGTTTCTTGCTAGTACCAGTAGGTCGATGGAAGAGGAGAGGCTTTAATCTCTTTGCCGATCTTCTCCATTGACTTTGCAGTTTTTATCTTTTCAGTTAGCTTCTCTCCAAACAACAGAGACCCAGGCTTGGTCGTCTGTAACAGATTTTTCATTGACTTGGTCAATATTGGAGAGATAAACGCTCTTCTAGCTGAAGAGACCTGGAAATGTAGCTGCGTAATTAGTTTTCCTGCATCCGCTAATTTTTCTAGTAACTCCAGACGATCTAGGGGTTCTTCCTCATCTTTTAAAATCATCGTGATGCCTTGTCCTAATGCTGATAAGGCTGAACCAGCTAAGTTCTGTTCTTGGGTAAATAGCTGATCCCTCTTGGCACCCGTTTCGTTCAGAGTAGCTGCTATTTCTTCATTTAATTCTGGGGCCTCGAGAGAAATATTCCCCTTTCGAGGATATTTGTCCACTACTTGGACTTTAATCTCTTTCGGCAATCCGTCAGACAGCCAAGATGCCCAACGCGTCACCAAGCTCTCATGCAGCTCTACTTGATCTTTTTTCTTAGCCCCTGGACCATCTCCTAGAAGCAGTTCCACCTCGTTATCTAGCTTCTTAGACTCAGCTGCCTCAGTAGACTGGGCATCATCCTTTACTACTAGGCCCTCTTCCTCAGCCTGCATCTGCGCGATCTCCTCGAGGATCTTGTCTGAGCCCGAGGTACACCTGACTGACTCTTTGAACCCGGGATCCCCGACTAGGGGATTGACGGATTCATTTTCATTACCAGGGTTAACCTGATTTCCATCTGCAAGGAAAAATAATTACTTAATTTTTCCCCTAATGCCAGATGAAAATTTACTGCACTGGTTGTTATTGCCTCCTACGTGCAAAATTCACCAGCCTGGACGCCCGTCAGGGTCTCATCCTATAGAGTCCTGACGTCGTGTTATTTTTTAGATAATTTCTAATAATATAATTTAATTTACCTTTATCGAGTGATTTTATAAATGTGTCCGTCAGGCACTGCACCACTCTTTCTAACCTCTTAATCCGCTTCTCGCACTTGCTCTCCTCATCTCTTTCTCTGCTGCGTTTTTTCCCCATGTGTAATCTTCGTCCGAAAGACAATAAAGGACAATAATTCTTGAATAAACAATTAATTTCTTGATAGAATTAAATCCTCAAACATGTTGTTTATTCTAGCACAAAAAACGTTATGACGATTAGCCGCTAGGGTGCGGCGTAGGAGCAGGCGGCGGGAAGCCGAAATTTTAAATTTATTCTCTAAAGATTGTTGTTGGATCTGGTCAAAGTAGCGGTACTACGATGTAATCTCGAAGAACGAGACTCGTAATATAATACATATCACAGTTAAGTTACTATATATTTTGTATAAAATTTATATCTTTTAACATTAAATTAGTCAAAAATTCACCTGTTAATGTTTTTATAAGAGTTAATGTCCTTGCAAAAATGTTGATGACGTCATCACAATATTGTGTAAAGATAAAACTTAACTCGAAAATGCTGGATTTGCTTCATTGTACCTCCGGAGTGAGGGAAGTTCTGTTGAAACAACTTTCGAACATTTTTTTTATAGTAATATTAATATAATATCGAACCCCTCGCCTCTGCTGAAGGCTAGTCGGAGCATAAGTGCTAATTTCTGAAACAGGTAAGGGAGTTTTCTTTTATTTCTTTTTTCTATTCTATCCTGTTTGATAGTTGATAGCAAAAACCAGTGAAATACAAATGCACATTGTTGGAAGTTCATTGTTTTTTAACTAACGAATGCTGAAGAACCTGCTTGTCAGTAAACAAGCCCAAGATGAATCAGTGAACCCGTTGAAGTCATGTACATTATTTTTACTTCCTCAGCGTAAGCAAAGGAAGTGTAATGGGATGGCTAGGGAGAATTAATCTACACTTGCACTTGTTTTTATAGGAGTTAATGACACAATTTCTTGAAAAGAACCGAAAGCTGAATGCACCATAGATGCTTGAATAGTTCGAGCTTCCAGATTTGTGTTGTTTGTTGCTTGACCTGTTAATTCATCACCTTTATATTGAACGGATAGATTTACGTAAATCTCATCTACAGTTAAGATAACATACCTTTCTATATCTGTCAAATTCTTAGCTACATGGTTTAAAAAACATTGTTTGTTTTTTCACAATTTGGACTTATGTTTAAATTACTTGATAATCTTTGTAAATGTTTTGGATGAGGAAGGATAAGATTCCCACTGTTACGAAGAGCATTATAACCCGCAGCTGAGTAGTAATGTAATATAAAAGACAGAATAACGGTTTCTTTTGAATATCTTGTGATAAACTCTGTTTGTCATGAATCCCCTGATGGGTGATTACCAGGGTACATACTAGTAACTCACTTTCACACTTTTATTACGTCGTTCTGTTCTACACACTTCTACACTAACAATAACTACTACTCCTTCTGTACTCCCAATTCATGTACACGCCTTTTCCGCTAAACGTTGGAAGCTTAATTTGGGGTAGTTGTATGTTCGGTTTCTCATGTTGAAGGGCGGACGGTGACGGGATTTTTTCTTTCAGTTTTTCAGCCACAACCTCGTACCTTTCTTCAGTCTTCTCGTACATCTCGTCGCCAAAATATTTTTCTTCGAAATCAATTTCATGGACGTAGATTTCTTCATGCAGTTCTATGATACTTCTCCACTGACCTTGGATTTTTTCGGATAGAAGTTCATGCCTGGCGGGGTGTAGTCCTGAGCTAAATCGCTGTTTATCTTGATAAGCTCGGTGGAGATTTTTTGCAGTCTGAACTATTGACGTCGAATCTTCGAGCAACGCTTCTAATTGATCGAAATATTTCACTTCGAAATAATTGTGGGTAGTTCTGATGGTGGGCCCCAGTATCTTCAATTCTTAATGATTTCATTGGACTTCATTCCAATATTCTTGGAGTTGTTGTGCCCTTTTGGATCGCCAATTTTGGGTTTTTCTTTTTGCGGAATCTTTTCTCGCCATAGTTAAGAGGGCTTGAATTTTCTTCCCCAAATCCTCTTGTTCTTTGGTTTTCTTCTTTCATTTATGACGAGTTTTTTCTTGCACCCTTAATTCCGTGAAGGCGTGCTGGGTATAAGGGGCACCGGCGACCGAAAATTCTCTCGGAAGTGGTGCTTGTGTAAGGATGGTATCATCGAACTGCAGTTTCGCAGCCTGAAATTGTAGATTTGGAAATGGTACCGGATTTGCGGATGAACACGGCCCGAAAATTGTAGACTTGGAAATGGTGTTGTATTAAAAAAAGGAGTGGTGCCACTGGACTGTAGTCTCACAGCCCGAGTTTTTAGACTTGGAAATTGGCACCTGGTTCAATAATGGCTCGAAAGACCATGAATTAAGGACCCGGATGGGTTAGGTAGCACCGTGCTTGCTCGCTGCACCTTGGGTCGTGGGTTCGATTCTCGCCCTGCTCTAGGTGTTGTGTATGTCCCCCGTACCCTGTAATTGGGCCTCCGGCCTGTAGGGTAACGTAATTGAATAAAAATTAAAAAAAAATGAACAATTCTGGGGTAGAATTGTGGGGAATGAGTAAAAAACCAATAAAGCTTAATACTGATTTATTGAAAACAACCTAACTTATTTATACAAAACTACATTTTTACAGT